TTTTTTTTTTTTTTTTTTTTGTCCTCTCGGGAAAGGCGTTTGTAATGATTCTCTTCAACTGCTATATACACAATTTACATCTCTTTACCGCAAATGAAAGGAGAACTGTCTCCTAAATTGTCGTGGACCTTGAGTCCATGAGTATTACGTGATTGGAACCTGCATTGCATCATGAATGGTTTTGAGAAATTGGTTTGGGATGGAATATCAGTGGACTGGATATAAGCATATGCTAGTTTTGAACGCAAAGAATTAAATGTAATTTGCAACAACGTATAGTGTCTTTTTCTTTAAACTCGAAACTTTTGTGACCGTACTCTTAGCGCAAATCATATATTTTGTTTTGGATTACCTTGCTATATCTTACTCTCCTATCACATTATTTTCCAGATGAACAAATGTACTGGAAATGGGCTTGCAATTGGGTTTTTCATTGTAACTGCTTGTTTAGCAATAGTTGCAAGAGTATATTTCATGGGGAAGTCCAGGAACAGTCACTCCGGATCAGTGGCTGATCTTGTCAGGCGTGGTCAGCTAAGATCTGACAGAAGAGGCATGTATGAATTAAATCTTTGAATGCTTTGTCCTTTCTACTTGCTAAAATGTCATGTCATGTTATGTATTACTTGTTTCCATTATATTCTTTTAGTTTTCTCTATAATCATCTTTTCTTCCAGTTCCAAGCCTTTAAAATACAACGATCCCTTTAACAACCCATTGGTGAAGGTTGACAAAAGCAATTCGTCGGTTGAAATGTGCGGAAAGGTCTATCGGTTGGCCCCAGTTACACTTACCAAGGAGGAACAAAGTATTCATCAGAAACGGAGGTCCCGGGCATATCAGTGGAAGAGGCCAACCATGTTTCTCAAGGAAGGAGATTCAATTCCTCCTGATGTTGACCCGGATTCAGTTAGGTGGATTCCTGCAAACCATCCTTTCGCAACAACAGCTAGTGATATTGACGAAGACTTAGCCCAGAACAACGTGTACCAAAAGCATGGTGTTCCTTTCCGTATTCAAGCTGAGCATGAGGCTCTGCAGAGAAAGCTGGAAGCACTCCAGAATGTGAGTACCTCTGAATCTCTGATACTTTGTACTGGTTTCTGTGGTGTCTTCATGTTCATTCCTTTAGTTACTAAATTCATATGTATCAATTGCTGCGTGTTAATGGGGAACTAAAATGAAGCAATATTCAGGTAGACAACTTAAGACGGCTCTCTCCCCTGGTTGGTGTTTTGCATAGCAAAACTAATGAGAAATGCCAAGTCCTTTTCATCTTCTGCCTCTTTTTTGAATTTTACCAACTTATCCTCTCTTTTAATCGGCGGCCAATGGCCTTCCTAAAGATATTAATAGCATTTCATCTATTTCTTTCAAGTTTAATCCCTTTCACATTCGGTGGACACCCCATTGGCTTCGAGAAGGAGAAGATTCTATGGATTCAATTATTTGAGTCTTTTTAGGACCACTTGGTTAGATAAAAATAGAAGAGCTTTATTAGGATAAAGGTAGATTCTCTTGCCTTTTCTGAGATTCTCCCGCTTTTGGATTCTCCCACTTTTGTTACTCACTCTTAGGTGGTGAAAGTTATATGCACCTCCTTTGCAATTATTGTTCAAACTCTTTTTGTGCCAACTTGAAGTGCTTTTTAAATGCATCTTCCTTGTCTAAATTTGAGGCTTTTCTCACCCTTTTGTGATTTACTTTCTTCAATGAAATGAATTTAATTCTTCTGCAATCACAAATATCACTGAAAGATGAACTTTCTGGTTTTGCCTATATGTGAGAACGGATTGTATTCCTTGATGATTTGAATTATAACCTTCAAGAATTACATATCATTGGGTTAAGTTTTATAAATGTTCCCTTTGCGGATGCCAGCTAATGGTGTCCTTTTGATACATTCTAGTTCTGAGTATTTATTGTACATATTTAGGGATATACTAGCAACAGAAGGACAGAACTCTGCATCTGTTGGATGAATTATTCGCATGCAGTTCTTGGTATTTAATTATGGTATTTATAATAAACTTATTAAGAAAGGAAGCTAGAAAAAGAGTTGTAGGGATCCTTGAGAAAATGGAAAAGCTCTTATTTATTTATTTATTTATTGATTTAGAGGGAGAAATGGGGTGGGGAGTTTGGTTTTGGGACGAGATTTAATGATTATGCAGAAAAGAGCCTAAAAATCCAGGTAATTACTCGTAGGAAGTTTACATCTAAACGCTTGTGATGTGTAGTGGACGTTTTAATCTTCATTAAATTTTTTATTGTTCATTTGGCGCACTACATCAAGTTGTTCCTCTTCCCTCCCATCTTAAAAATCGTCGGTTTGTACGATAAATGATTACTATTTATTCTCATTTCCCGTTACCTGGGCCTTGGGTTAGATCGAGATTAATATGAAATTAATTATTCAAGTGATGATGCCTGTCCACTAAATTATATTTATGAGTCACCTTTTAATATTTATATTTACGTTTTGCGCAGGAACAGAAACTGAATAATTTATTTATAGATCCTGGAAGTGCCACGGAGTTTGAGAGGCCTTTTAAATCAAAATCCAAGACAGATGAACAAGACGAACGGAGTTTTTCTGATCACCAAGCTGGGGAGTCCAAGCCTCCAAACTCGGGACCTCATCCAAGTTCTATCGGTGGTGTTAAATCAACATCTGATGAAGCACAGAAATCCTGAGGTCAGGGTTTTTTCTGCTGTGTTCATAAACATAATCATTTTACCATCCCAACAATCTATCAGGTTCCTCTAAATTTAGAATTTGTGTATTTAAAATGCAGGCTTGCTGTAAATAGGACTATCTTTTTGCCATTGTTTTTTTTTTTTATATCTGCAGAACGCATGAAGTTAGTTGTTGAGGCGCTTACTGTATAGTATCAATGCGTGCAGACTTGTTTCCGTAGGCCATCAGTAGTGAATGTATTTCTGTGTTTTGAGGCAGAACTTTCAAAAATATGTACTTTTGTTGAATTGGTATAATCGTTCAATTCTCTGCCTTATTGCAGTCTCGATTGTAATCTGAAAATTGACTTGAACTGCTAACATTAACACATAAGATTGTTATTTGAATTCTGTAACTAAATACAAAATGAACTATGCAATTGCTCCTAATTCTCTCTTATTATTAACTATAGAAAATAATAAAAATATGAACACACGACGAACTCACTCCGCTGTGACCGCTACTGACCGTAGTTCAAACGGCTTCTTCTTCTAGTTCACAAACTTTACATCTGGATTTCGTATAGGTTTGAGCCACATGTCCGCCATTACCCTCGACGACAAGCTCCAAAGCAAATCTGGTCCCTTGGATGATAAATGCTTTCCCTTCTTCACCGCCTTCCCAATCCCATGCGCCACTAGCCACTGCATCGCCGTCAGCCTCTGCTTTTCGCTGTCCCACGCGTTCCTCTTCCCTCCGCCCCTCACCTTCAACCCACCCACATGCAAGCTCGTCACCTTGAATCTTCTTTCCTCTTCGTATTTGCTTGATTTTTCTTCCATTTCTTCTTCCTTGGCGTGGATCAGACCCACCACAGGGCCTCCCACGGCTTCGTATCGCCTTAGTGGGTCTCTTAACTGCACCACCACCGCCAGTGTGATGGATTCTGGATCTTCCAATTGGCTTGCAAATTTAGTGAAGTTGAATTTATTTATCCAGTCTTCGTACGGAACTGCACAATCCAGGGGGTGCATTTGATTTTGATCCTTTCCTCCAATTTTCACATTCAGAGCCGATACGTCAAATGGGGCTTCTTCCTCCGCCATTTCGGCCTGGATTTTCAAGGCTTCCACGCTCATTTCTTCGAGCTTTTGCAAAGAGAAGGCTAGAATCTCTTCGATGGTTAGAGGGATTTCGTTTAAGTTCCAAATTCCTGTCGAAATCCTCTCTTTCCTTCCCGTGCTCAATGCGGCCACCATTGATTTTACTGCAGCAATGGCGCGGGCAGCGGTGGAACTTGCTCCTTCCTTGTTTCTCCCTTGAATGATTGCCGAAGCAATTCCTTCGAATGCTATTTGTTCTGCTGTTTTGCCCATCAGTTCATCCGTAGACATCAATCCCATTACTTTGGAGCTCAGTTCCTCGACCCCGCTGCAAGCCATTCTCTGAAACAACTCGAATCCACTCAGCGACTGTGTGGAGGATAAAATGAATGGTTTCGATATCTGCATCGCTAGTTTTGGAGTGTCCTTTCTTGAAACTTGGGTGTTTAATGGATTCATGGCGGCTAAGTAGCCTCCATCTCTGGTTTGAACAACGCAGCCCAGCCCCTTTCCAAGGTCTGGAAGGTACGATTTGGATTCAATTTCAGAGGAATCCTCTGTTTCTTCAAGTTGGTAACGACGGATTTCAGGGTAATCGAGTTTGCTGTCTTTTATGTATGAGCCATCCCCGTCTTCTTCCTCGAGCATCTGCAGAAATTCCCTTGTTACGTTTTCTTCATCAGCATCAAGCCTCTGCGAATCGGATTCTTCATCGTTTTTGCCCAGATTTTCATCTCCCATCATTGATTCCAGAGCTTTTATTTGCTGTGCAATGGAATCGAGTTCCGATAATCGATTCAAATGAGCCTGATCGTGTACAACCTCCTTGACTACCTCGCTTGAAGTCGACTTTTCTTCCACGGATTTTTCAGATTCTTCTTTGTCCAGTTCTTCCCCTTTGTCCTGAATCTCAACTCCTCTGTCGACAACTTGAAAGTCTGGGAGATCGAAATCTTCAATATTCGGTTCTTCTGATTTCTGAATGGACGGGGGAGTTGACGGAATCGGTGCTGGTTCATCTAAGTTCAGATCATCCATTCCTGTATGATCTGTTGTCTCTCTTGTTTGCGATGGTGTCCAAGCTTCGGTTTGAGCAGTTAATCTGGGACTAGGAACGCTGAAGGAGGTCTTCGATTGCTTTCTCCCGTAAGATTTTCCCGATTTGGATTCCTTCGGCTGAGCTTGACTGTAAATTCCAACTCCTCCGTCTTTCTCCATAATCTGGAAGCCTAATTTGACGACGAGTTCTCCTCCTTTAGCTTTCCCCGCCAAATTGAAGCTTATATCCCACTGTCGAACTCGCGTTCCTTCGCTACTCTTCTCCATGGATTCTTCAATCAGCTTACTCAAATCCACTGCACTTCTTCCGAAATCAAGCTCTTGAGCATCTACAGCGAAAGCGTAAATCCAAAACGGACGAGGCTCGAATTTGAGAGGCTTTCCGTTACCAGAAGTGCAATAAACATGAGATTTGAGGAACAACGTCTCTTCAAAATCCGCAGTGCCTTGCGAAACCCTAGACGGCATTGTGTTGACTGCTCCATCTTTGGTCTCTTTCTTCCTCACGCAAACGGAAAGTCGAAGCCCATTCATGGAGGCGGGAAGGCCCTGAACGGTGACGACTTCAACAGAGAACAAGCAACTAATCTTCTGCATTCCGATGTGGGCGAGAGCTCGAATAGGCTTCCAATTCCAAATCCCCTTCTTCTCGGGGGTGGCTTCATCCAACTTCCTCAGCTCGGGCTGATTAGAAGAAACCTTGTTTGGTTGGGATTGGGAGTTATGATGGTCATCGAGGTTGGGGCGGGAACGCCATGGCGAGAGAGACATACGCCGGGACCGGGGCTTGTTGATTGTGTGGATGGCCCCCACATCTTCAGAAGAGGGAATAGAAGGAAGAGAGGTCCGAGGAAGAACAAGCGAGGCTGTTCTTCGAGTAGTGGAGGAGGTGTGGGTTTGGTAGAGCGTTTGGCTGAGTGCCTCAAGCTCCTGGAGAAGGTGGGTATTGGAATCCCTTGTTTCCGGCGTGTCGGGATGAGTGGCCATTGATGAGGTTGGAGCCAAAAGTGCAGGAGGAGGAGGAGGAAGAAGAGAAGCAGATAAGAGAAAAAGCGAGGAGCATGGAGTGTAAGAGGTGGAGATATTGGGAGATACGATAGGTGAAAGAAAGCGGCGGGTGGAGCATGGAGAGCCAGGCAAAATTTTCTGGGCACAAAAGCTTGAGCGACACACACGGCTTCTTCTTCCATCTTCGGGTCCCTTCTGCATTCAATGCCCACTGTCTTCTCGCTCATTCCTCAATCATTGCTAATTTTCAAACTTCAACTGCCACTTTAATTTTTAACCAATATTATCACTAATCACAATTAAATAACAACTAACCGTCGTCATAAGATAATTAATGCTATAACTAATTACAATAATTTTAACACTATTCCATCATAATAAGTATACTTGTTTTATTTTTTTTTTACAAATTTTAGTATTTGAAATGGGGTTAGAATTAGAATTATATGATTGAAGATGTAAAATTATGAGTGGGGGATGAGACGGGGGGAGAGAGCGGGTCAAGTGGGTAAAAAAAAAAAGGTTAAAAAAAGAGCTGAATTTTTGGAAAGAATTGGACGTAATTGGTACGAGAGGGTGCATAAGTAGTAAAGGGTGAAAGAGAAAGAGAGAGCGAAGAAGATGTGGAAGATGGAAGAGCACGAGCCGCCGCAGCAGCAAATGAGGCGGGGAACAGAAGAAGAGAAGGGTTCGGTGGAAGAACTGCTGCCACTGGAGAGCAGTCCTTACGTGAAATACAAGGACTTGGAAGACTACAAAAACAAGGGGTATGGGGTGGAGGGCCATATTGAGCCCAAGCCCATTCAGGGCGGCGGCACCGATGCCCCCACCTTGTCCGGCAGCGGCTTCCCAGAGGTGGCTCCAGCCTCCATTGACGCCGTCACCAGACAAGGCCTTATCCACTGATATATGCGACTCTATTTTTTTGACAACATATCCAATGTGTTGAGTTCTTTTTTTTTTTTTTTTTTATCATAATTCTGAATTAATTTGAGTTGCAAAGTCATCCATTTCTCTCCCTCACCTCACCTCACCTCTATAATTTTAAATAACTTAAAATATGAAAATTTGATTCCATACACCTTATTTAAGAATATCTTTTCACCTCTTTAGGTGCTGCAATAAACATTCCCATATAGCCGTATAAAGGTTGCATGCATGAAAAAAATGAAAAAAGTAACCATTAAGTTCACCAACTTTAGAGGGTACAAATGACAAATTTTATAAGTATTCGGACTTCTAATAACCGATTAGATTTACGATTAGGGCTAGTTGGCCAATCCCTAATCGTCCCAAGTATATATATATATATATCAACAAACTAAAAATAGTAAATCGATGATAATTTAATATTAATAACAAAAAAAAAAAGTTTATTATAAACAACAATAATACAAATAGCATATAGTCAATATATGATTTGTGTAATGTACTGACATCTATTATATGACATATTAATAAGCTATAATAATAAATATAGAAATGTTTTGTGAATGATAGACATAAAGATAATTTATGAAATATGGTTGCTAATAAATATAAAATTGTGTATCAATAATAGAAAACTATCATACACATATTATGTGCATCGGTCCATTAACAATAGTCACAAAAATAAACCTAAAAGTTATCTATTAATGATACACTTTACCCATAAATAATAAAATGGTCTACAAATGAACATAAAAATTATTTATCAAATTATCATTAATTGACATTTACCAATAAATAAAATAAAAATAGTTTTGAAAATTTGAGTGTGAATGGGCCCTACTAGCATTTTCCACATTAGAATGCAGGCCTGTAATCAAGGCCCAAATTGTAGTGTGAATGGGCCTACTATCATTTTCCAGCTTAAACTGCAGGCCCGTAATCAAGGCCCAATTTTGAGTGTTCATGGGCCTTAGTAGCATTTTCCAGCTTCAAATGCAGGCCCGTAATAAAGGCCCATATTTTGAGCGGAATAGGCGTATATAGCGTAAATGGACTGACTTCGATCTGGACTTGTAGATCACTTCGTGTTGAAGATCCTTTCGGTGAAATCCGCAGAAAAATGGCGTTGATGAAAGGAGAGCCGCTGGTGAGGAAGCTCGCCGTGTTCGCCAAGTATGTTGTTCTTCCGGGAGCCATGGCCGCAGCTCTCGTTTACTCTCCTCCAGATTATGCTTACTTCAAGAATGACGATAAGTCTTCCAAATAGGATTCTTTCCCATTCTTCCACCTATCGGTTCGTCTCGATCTGCCTTCTCTTAGGGCTACCGATTTATAATTTTCCTCGTTATGCTGTTCTCTTTCTAAAATTTTGATAGATGATTTGGTCTGATTGTGGGATATTTTTACGTGAACGAACGTGTTATCTGCTATTGAGGAAATGCTCGTCGTGTTTGCAATCAGAATTGATGCTTTGTGCATCTGATACTCGTCGATAAAAAAATTGATACTGTTTTAATTGATGAATATGTATTCGAGATTTTGCTTAAGACGTATTTGAATTTTCTCTACATTTATTATCCTGCCTCGCATAACTTCGACACGAACTATAACGTGATAATTCTTTTCTTTTTTTAATTTGAATTTGAATTTGAGTAGGCAGAATAAACTAAGTTTGAACTTGATGAAATAAGTAGGCTCTATTAGATTCAACATACAAGGTGTTTATCTTTTTATAGGATCGCCATAATTGATTGTGTCGTCATCTAGATTACCAGCCATTTAATGGGCGTATTAGTAGTTGATCTCCCTAGTTTCCTCATTGATTTGCCTCTTGAACGTAAGGTTGCTTATTTTCGATAATAACCCCCCGGCACACTCAGGAAAAGAAAGAGCCTTTTCCTACAAACCAGCCATCCCATTGCCCAGGGGGTTTAAATGCTGAGTATCTTTGCTGCTTGATAATTCCTTGATTCCTGTATGGGTTTCAAACTATCACTTAAATTTGCTGAAAATGTTTGAGAATCGCGTTCATTGCTATGTAAGCATTAGAAGCTTTTGTCTGGTTTATTTTCTTCCATTCGATAAAATTGGAATTGGAGTTGATTTTCTGTTTTCTTGTGGTACAGGACCGTCTGATCATGTAGGCTTGCATTGGCAGATTTGTGTTCCTCTTTTGTTGATAATGGTGTGTAATGGACTTACTGCATTATGTCTCAATAATTAGTCATTTGTTTTACTTTTGGGGCTTGGTCTTCGGAGAAAGAACAATGAATTGTTTCCTTGAGGAATACTCAAAATGGGAAGTATATGTTTCCTTTGCTTATTTTTTCCCCTCTTCTTGCCCTTGATAAATTTGAAGAAATTTTGTGGGCTATATGTCCATGGAAGTGGTGACTGAAGTGGACATTGAATGGGATACATACATACCTGCAAATCTCATATGCTTGTATGATAATGGCACAGTTGTAAAATGTTGGAAATGTGGATATCCCATGATCACACCAACAGATATATTCATTCACGCAGAATGTATATTTACCAACCCTTTGGTCCTGTCCAGTGTTAATTTGAAATCAGTTTTTTGACCTTTACTTGATCCCAGGGCACAAGGGACATGATGACTTGACGTCATCCTCACCTTCCACCAGTGTTATTAAGTGATTTTTAAGTCAAATTACTACTGTTGTTTTGTGTTTGATTTTTCCCTCGGATCGTATACTTTAGTTAAAAGTTTCAAAATGTTTTTGTTGGGACTGCCATCAATTCTCTTCATGTCCCTCTGCTTAGCATCGATATTTCATAGCATTCCTTTGGAAGAGTAGTAATTTGAAGATTTACTCATATTTTAAGCAGTGCAGATGACATTAGCTCTGTCGCCCAATCTTTGGTGCGACCTTAAGTAGAAGGAAGCTCGAAATGAGAATGACAGGTTCAGGTAAGGGGGGGAGTGGTTAATGTAATTAAGTCTTGCTGACTCCAGCAGTGGAAGGATATAACTGAATTGGTTTATGTAATTAAGTCTTGCTGACTCCAGCAGTGGAAGGATATAACTGAATTGGTTTATGTAATTAAGTCTTGCTGACTCCAGCGGTGGAAGGATATAACTGAATTGGGCCGCTGCATGAATTTGGGGCCTTAGCCTGTGTTTTGGAAATAGATTTTGAAATATTGGAAGGAATTTGTGTGCAATGATTGAGGGGAGGGGAGGGGAGGGGAGGGGAGGGATGGCATGGCATGGCAACAATAGGATAATGGGACTACACTACACTACACTGCAAACTGTGTCAGGTATTCTTGTGGCCGAATAACTCTGTTTTTTATGAATGGGTTGGGGACAAAACAACAAAGGATTTGGGGTCCTTTGGTTCACAGTTGATTCAAGATTTTAGAATCCAAACCTGATTTTGATGGCCCCATGCCGTACTCGTTTTATTTTGTCATTATTCCTGCTGCGGAGTAGATATGTCTGTTCTCTGATATATACTAATAATTCTTAGGGGCTACTTTTCTGTGCCACTCGCGTGATTCAGATTCATCACAGCTTTATTTTCTTTACTAAATGATGCTCTTTAAATTTATTCCCACCACCACCTATTGCTCCTGTTCATTGCTATTATTGAGATGAGGAGGCTGAGGGTTGGCCTAGGGCAGAGGAAGCCCCTCCTTAGTCCTAAGCCAACCCACCCACAGCCCACAGCCCACAGCCCACAGCAAGAGCATGCATGCAACCACCACTGTACCATTGCCAACTTCTTCAAACTTCAAATACCTAATCAATTGCAGGTGACGTCAAAATATACTTAAAGACGAACCTTGCAATCCCATCAATGGTGTCAAATCCAGCTGAACCTGCCCTCACCTAATTCTCGATCTTTACTAGAGCGCCCATTTATGTTTATATTCCCAATCCCAGCATAATGGGGCGTCTTGTTAAATATTTATATAAATACAAGACGCGTCTCAAGGGAAGCTGTTTTTCCAATGGTGCAAGGCTTACGTACAGAGGTGGATAATGGGTTTTAGAGAAGGGAAAGCATGGATTTTAAAGAAATATTTGGTACATGCAGACACGCAGATTGGACGCTACGCTACAGACGCATACTAGTTTACAACCACGTACTTGAGTACTAAAAAAGTAAGCGAAAAGTTAAAAAATACGAAAAGAGATGTTAAGCATCTAAAGGCCAAGATTCTCCATGGGCATGGACGATGTTGATGTGAGGATCTAACATTGTCTGATAGCCGGCCTTGGTGAAGGCGATTGAAGTTGATATGTCATGAACAGACACCTCAGCAGCCGCGGCTGGTGGTGAACTGCATTCCATTTCAAAAGACATGGGATGTTGATGGTAAGAGGGGGGGTTTGGCTGCATCTTCATCATATCCATGAAGTCTGAGTTGGCCTCAGCGGGCTCGAAATGGGTTGTAAAGCTGGCCTCCGCTTTGAACTGTTTAAAGACATCGCACTGTTGTTGTTGATGCTGCTGCTGCTGCTGCTGCTTTAGTAGTACTGTGGAATCTTGATGTGAGAGGAGAGACTTGAAGAGAATCGATGGCAGCAGTGATGATGATGATGATGATGATGATGCGGACGGAGTATACGTGTTGCTGTTGGCATTAGCAATGGGGTTTATGTTATTGGTGGTTATGGAGATGGTGTTGATTGAGATAGGGGGTGGTGGTGGTGGTGGTTTGTGTGAATAAGGGGGCTGCTGCTGCTGCTGCAACGGCTGCTCGTTCGAGGAAAGGAGGTTGGATTGGGACACGACTGAGCTTACGAAGCTCTTCAGGTCGCTTTCAGGAGGCTGATGAATCTGAAAAGGGTTTTGGAAAGCCTGCATTGCGGCTTGAGATTGACACTCTATTAGTGTTGTTGGAGTCGTCTCGAGCAACGGAGGCAAGGAGTTGGAAGTAGTGGACGATGATAAAGCAGCAGCAGCAGCAGACTCCAGGAGATAAGCGTGACACGGGAACATTGGATTTTTCTTCTCCCCATTCTTGTGAAATATTCTGCAAATAACCCATTCTTCCTGCAACCGACACAAAAGATAAATAAATAAAAAAAATAAAAAAGAAAAGCAAGGGCTACAGCACGTTGCGCCATTACCAGAGATAAAACTTAGCAGTAGTTAAATCAATCGCATCACATCAAAACTTACCCCCAAAGTAAATAATAGAAGAGGAATAGTGTAGCATTGGAAAGAGGCAGTACTTTAATGGAATATATATAACATAAGTCAACCCGGAAGAGGACAAAAGAATAGGGTTAAGCATTGCAGGTTAATAGCTTGGTTCGCACGGTGCGAGAGTGCACGTGCGGTGGCGGGGGCGAGTTCATTATTGGCATTACCTTGCAGGCATGGCGGTAAGAGAAATGGCCGTCTAAGCGGTACTCATGCATGACCCACTTGGTTTTCTCTCCACGCGGGGCTCTGCCTCTGTAGAACACCAGCGTCTTCTTCATCCCAAGTAGGGATCCATTGGATGCACTGTAAACTTCCCTGTCTTTTCCGGTGGCTTTCCAGTAACCAGCTCCGGTGGCCCTATTTGTTCTTAGCCCTGTTGGGTACTTCCGGTCACGCAAACTGTAGAAGTACCATTCTCTCTCGCCCATCTTTGCAACATCTGAAACAATCAACACACACAACAATGCATATTATTACTAAAACCCACCACATCTAGTCTCCAACTAAAGTACCCCTTCCCTTCTCTCTCCATCTCTCTCCATCTCTCTATCTCTTTGAGCTGCACATTTCTTTTATTAGAGAATACCAGTTTGTCGGCAGTTGAGATACTTTTACAGGGAGAGATAGATTTTGTAGCGTTGTTAAATGGAAAAATAATCGTAGCTGCAACCCCACTGATGCATTAGATTGAAGTTGACATGAACCTACCTCTAGCATTATGGCGACAAGAAAGATGCAACTTATGAACTTGAATTAACTTCAACTCCTCAGTTTGGACGTCGCAAAAGTGATGATTTAATAGGAAAAGAAAAACAAAACAAAAACCACATTTTCTGTTCCTATCTTAGAGAAGAAAGACCGAAAATCTACGATCACAGCAACAAAAAAGTATGATATGGAGATGGAAGAAGGAAGATTTTGATACAATTTTTAAAAACTGAGGGTGAATGTTTGAAGTTACTTAATAACGCTGCTGCATGGGTGACTAAGGTGAGGAGAATCATAAGCACAAGTGTAGTACGTACCTGGAAGCTCCCATGGCTCACATCGATTGAGGTCTACCTCAGCAATCTCCACCCCGCAGAAGCTGCCTTTGAAAACCTTTGAAGCCAAGTAAAATGTGATAAGCTCCTCATCAGTAGGGTGGAACCGAAACCCTGGGGGCAATCCCTGCTCGTTTAACTCTTCGCCATTTAGCTCGGATAAGATTTGCTCCATTGCCATCATGGTTGTCCGCAGATGTCCAGAGAGAGGGGGAGAGAGAGAGAGAAGAAAGAGTTGAGGGAAAGAGAATGGGAGGAGAGAGTGATTATTACAAAGGAAGGGTAAATTATATAGGTATGATTATAAAGCACTGAAACCAAAGTAAAGTGAAAGAAAAATATGAGGGGAAATGAGGAGGCGGAGAGATAAGGATTTGAGATTCTTAAAACGCTTTCATGGGGGCCTACAGAAACGCACCTGAAAAAGGCCTTCCCTTCCCTTCCCTTCCCGGACTAGGTCGCCAACAAAATCATATTTTTATTAATGTGTTTTTTTTGTTGGGAGAAAAAAGAGAAAGGGAATACTTAGTAGTCTATGGGAGAATGTTAAATGCAAAACTTAGGGTGATGCAGGGATTTATGCGTGCGTATGTTTTGTTTGTTTTGAGGGTAGAAGTGAGATAATCTACATGAGGGAAAGGGAGACAAATAGTGAGATCATCACACTAATTCTTTCCCACGCCTGCCAAAACTTAGTAGTCTATGGATTCATATGCTCTACATTATTATGAATAATGAAAGGACACCCATTGGACAATAATACTATCAACAGTGAAAAATGAGGGCATGGAAGGAAGAAAGAGAAGGCAGAGCCGAATGGAATAGAACTTACTAACTTAGGGTGGGGCTCTTGATTGTAATAAATGATTTGAATGCTTTGGTGGGCTGCATATGCAATGAAATCAGTCGGCGTTGCACGTGTACGTATCATCACCAAATAATAATAATAATAATAATAATAATAATAATAATAATAATAATAATAATAATAATAATAACAATAATAACAACAACAACAACAATTTATTTAATGAACACAAGAATAGTTATAACCACTGAGTGAAGTAAAAGATAATACAACTGCAACGCCAAAGATCTACTGATGCACTGTAATAGCCAAATAGGTAGGTTTACATAAGCCTATCTGGGCACCCTCTGCCCTCCTCTCGTTTTCTTTAAATTACTTTGAGCTGGAATGGGAACTCTCCACTGTTCCTCACCCACACGTAAGCCAAGCCACACCTCTTCTGCTTAGCGTTTTAAGGATTTTTTTTCCCCTAATCAATGGTCTTCGCGAGACGAATAGGAAAAGGAGACGTTGATGTGTGGCGTTGTCAAACAAGACTGTGGTCGAAAAAGTCAGTGCGGGGGCCATGAGAATTTAAGACAGTGCACACTCCCATTAAATGCAAGGGCTGCTGCTTATTAATGTGTTCACAAAGATAATATCATTCTTATTATCTTTTTCTTTTTGGCAACTGGAAGAGGAATGAATGCATGCAATTACACCCACGCACGTGCCAAGGAAGGCTTGTTTTTTGTTATATTGGGAGGATGCAAATGAAATGACAAGTCAATGTGTATAAAGGCAACAGGTTGCGTGGGGCCTCAAATTCGTCGATTTCTCGTGTTTGATTCAAATCCGAGTGTAAAAAGGTAATATATATAGACACACACACACACAAGGCGAAGGAGTAACCACGAAGTACTAGTAAAGAGCAAGGAGGAGGTTGGGTGGCTGGACGAGTGGAGCTGCAAGGCAACGAAGCAGAAGAAAAGTGAAACTTTTGGATAATACAGGGACCACTCGGCAATAATCTCATAAGGAATGATTGGGGTTTGTGTTCAAATGTTATAAAAAAAAGAATATATATATTAGAAATTCTCAATACTCATAAATGAATTGAAAACAGAAAACGAGAAGGCAAGGCCATTATTTGGCGTTCTTCGACCCATTCCGTGTTTGTTAATTAACAACACCAATGCTTACAGCTCAAAGAAGTAGGGGCAGACTAGGTAATTTGCACCATCTCTTACAAGGGGGAAAAGAAAGAAAAGGAAAGCCCGTACAAATGGGAGCAGAAGGGGGGAGGGAGGGAGGAGGGAGGAGGGAGGAGGGAGGAGGGAGG